TGTTATGGGAAATGGACTATGGACAGGCTTCCGATTGTGTTGTGCTCGCTGAAGTCGACTGGCTGTTCCAAGTGTAAGCTCCATGGTCATTCGTTTACTAGTTCTGATTGATTGTTCCAGGTCGCAAGCCTGAAAACGTCCAGGCGTTCTACTTCCACAACGACAATGTGGAGAGTCACGCGGAGGTCCGCCCGCTGCGTCCGATGGGTCTCCAAACCTTCACCCTCTGCTTCTGGAGCCAGAACGTGAACCAAGGCAAGCAGACCGTCTTCTTCTACGCCACCCCAGAGAGGGACAACGAGTTGGTGGTCACGGTGGGCGTGGAAGTGGGCGTCTGGATCGGGGGCCACTTTGTCCAGTTCGAGCTCCACCAGAAGTCCGAGGAGCGGATCCACTGCTGCGTCACTTGGGCCTCCAACTCCGGCAATGTCGACGTGTGGATCAACGGCGAGATGGCCACCACCAAGCATATCCAGAAAGGGTACGTCATCCAGAGCGGCGGGACTCCCATCCTCGGAAAGTACAAGAACGCCATGCTCAACGTCTTTGCGAACGCCTTCTCCGGATGGCTGAGCCACGTCAACCTCTGGAGCCGCGTCCTGGAGCCGAGAGAAATCCAAGAGCTCATCCTCTGCCGAGAACAAGAGCCGAAGGGGGACATCATCGCCTGGGGGGAAACCCCCATGACCCTCTTCGGAGGCGTGGTCGTGGATGCCGATACCGGTTGCAGTTGAGGCCGTTGTGGACGCGAGACGGAATCCGTGCACGGGCAGAAAGTGCAAGAGAGCAAGCGTGGACTAGTACCCAAACGTGATATTGATTTTGTTTCTAGTTATGCATCTCGCAGGCTGCTTCTCCGTCCTCTCTGAATGCTCTTATGTGTCATCAGCATCCAACGACAGACAACGCTCAACATAAAGTGTCACTCTTCCATGTGCAATTGGTTTATTATTGGTAGCCGAATGGAAATTCGCTCTCTCCCTTTTGCCACATTTCTAAGCAAACGCAGACGCTGCGATGCCTCTTTTCATGCAGATATCACCTGTTAATGTAACCTCACCTGTTTACTTTCCCAAACGAGGACAGGAAAGTCTCCAGTATCAAAGCAGTGATAAGAAATGGAAGATAGGTTAGCTGGCCTAACCATGCAGCTTCTATTTCTGCCAGCCGTGCACGGAGTTGGTAGGAAAATGCTTCCAGATCATTTGGTTTTCTATTTCTCTTCTATATCTTTGTCTGCAAACCAAACCTTTTGGCATCGCAATAAAGTCCTGCATTGTAAACAACTCTAGTCCCAACCCAACCATGTATATTTCGACACATATGTTATGTACGCCGTAAATAGTTTACCTCTTGTTTGTGCAAGCTAGTTACGAAATGTGATTAAAATCATTTAATGCACACAGCCTTCCTGATATACATAAGTATTTTTGCAGATCTTGGGACGGACTACAATTCCTCCAAAGCCCCCAGTCAGCATTACCAGTGGTTTCCTGGCAGAGGGGGATTCAGAGGGGTCACCAAAGACCATCAGAAAACACACTTCCTACACAGAACCCTCTGTCTTGAAAGGACTGGTTGGCACAAGCCTCCCTCCAGCCTCGCATGCTCTCCCTTGCCCGAAAATGTGCACCATTTCTGATGGCCACAATGGGAACTATCTATACTAGGGGATCAGGGCCCCTGTTGGAACTAGGAAAAAGGATTTATATATCTGTGGAACTCTTGTCCAGGGTGGGACAAAGAACTCTTGTCTGTTGGAGCTAGGTGTTAATGTTTCAACTGACCACCTTGATTAGCGTTTGATGGCCTTGCAGTGATTGGGGCAATCTTTTGTTGAGAGGTGATTAGATGGTCATTCCACAGATATATAAACCCTTTTTCCTAGTTCCAACAGACCTCACTACCTCTGAGGATGCTTGCGATAGATGCAGGCAAAACGTCAGGAGAGAATGCCTCTAGACCATGGCCATACAGCCCGAAAAAACCTACAACAACCCATTATTATTATTATTATTGGAAAGGCATGACCTTTTAGAGATCATAACCTTTTGGAAAAACCAGAACCTCCAAAGCCTTTTGGAGATTACGGTAATTGTCATTCACTAGCATTTGGAATGATCAGAACCCTTTTGTAAAGTACTAGCTGTGCCCTGCCACGCGTTGCTGTGGCCTTTAGTAAGAGTTTTGAAGTCTCTGCCTGGCCTCTCTTCCTTCCTTCTCCTCTCTTTCCCTCTTTCTCTCTCTCACACTCTTTCCTTTCCCCTCTTTCCCTCTCTCTCTGGCATCCCTCCTTCCTCCCCCTTCTTTATGCTTGTGTGTAAACTTGAGTATTTTCTGTTGGTCATGGGGGTTCAGTGTGGCATGTTTGCCCCAATTCTGCCGTTGGTGGGGTTCAGGATGCTCTTTGAGTGTTGGTGAACTCTGAATCCCAGTGACTACAACTCCCAAATGTCAAGGTCTATTTCCCTCAAACTCCATCTGTGTTCATATTTGGCGTATTGAATGCTTATGCCAAGTTTGGTCCGGATCCATCATTGTTTGAGTCCACAGTGCTGTCTGGATGTGTGAACTACAACTCCCATAACTCCAGGGGGGGGGGGGGCAGGGAGGGGGCGTGTCTTTCCAGAGAGGAGGGAGGAGGGAAGGAGCGGGGCTTGGAGGCAGCGTGGAGGAGATGAAGGAGGGGGTGGAGGGAAGGAGGCCGGGGGAAGCTGCGTTGTTTGTGTGTGCGTGTGGGCGGCGACATGTTCATGCTGGGCGGGGCGAGAGAGGGAGGGAAGTGCGGAGGGTGCGTTGGCCGTTCGGCCATGTGTGTGCGCGCGCTGGGGACTTTGCTCCAGTGCGCATGCTCAGTTGTTTTGGCGATTTATCTGTGTGTTGTTGTGTTGTTTTCAATTCTGAGTGGATTAGTTTGTACCGAGTGGGTTGTCCTTGGGGCATGGCAATTTTGGTGCAGTTTCGTTGGGGGGTTGTGGAGTTTTGCTGTCCCGTTGAACCAACCTAACAGATTTATATATATAGATGATCTCAAAACTCATTTGAGTGACTCTTCTCTGTAGTGGTAAAGATCCACTAGTATCTATGCAAAGGCAATTAGGTTTCTCAGTTGTTAGACTGATATACCTGGTTATCCCTCTGAACGGTTAGGAACAATTATGCCAATGCACAAAATATGAAATAAGTGCTATTTCGGTGCCCAAAAACATCTAAAATATGTAGTAGAGTCTCGCTTATCTAACGTAAACAGTCCGGAAGAGCGTTGGATAAGCGAAAATGTTGGATAATAAGGAGGAAAATCCTATTAAACATCAAATTATATTATGGAGTTTACAAACCAAGCACCAAAACATCATGTTTTACAACAAATTGACAGAAAAAAGCAGTCCAATACATAAAAATGTTATGTAGTGATTGCTATATTTACAAATTTAGCACCAAAGTGAATTCGGAGCAGATCACAGAACACATATAAGGCAAACAATCAATGCTGTTATACTTTGACAAAATACACAACTGTACAAAAGGTAAATGTTTCTCCGGGACATTAAGTCCAGTCGTATCTGACTCTGGTAAGTAGTGCTCATCTCCATTTCTAAGCCGATGCGCAGGCATTGTCCATAGACACCTCCAAAATCATGTGGCCAGCATGACTGCATGGAGTGCCATTACCAAATGTCGAGGTCTATTTTCCCCACGAGTCATTTGAGAGTTGTCGTTGCTGGGATTTATAGTCCGCCTACAATCAAAGAACATTCTAAACTCCACCAATGATGGAATTGATTCAAACTTGGCACACAGAACTCCCACAACCAACAGAACAAAGTGGAAGGGTTTGGTGTGCATTGACCTTGAATTTTGGAGTTGTAGTTCACCTACATCCAGTGAGCACTGTGGACCCAAACAATGATGGATCTGGACCAAACTTGGCCCTCTACTCAATATGCCCAAATGTGAACACTGGGGGAGTTTGGGGAAAATAGACTTGACATTTGGGAGTTGTAGTTGCTGGGATTTATAGTTCACCTACAATCAAAGAGCATTCTGAACCCAGTCAACAATAGAATTGGGCCAAACTTCCCACACAACCCCCATGCCTTGAAGGGAATTGCTAGCATGAGCCTCCCTCCAACCTCACACGCTCTTCCTCACCCACACATGCACACACACTGCCATGCGCCGAGCACGCCTGCTCTCCCCTCCCAACTTGGAATCTCAGAAACAGCCCTTCCCCTTGGCTGAGAAGCCAGCCAATCACAGCAGAGGAGGGCTATGCCTTGAAGGGACATGCTGGCACGAGCCTCCCTCCAGCCTCCCATGCTCTCCCTCGCCCGCACATTCACACCACACTGCCATGTGCCAAGCACGACTGCTCTCCCCTCCCCATTTGGAGTCTCAGAAACAGCCCTTTCCTTGGCAGAGGAGGACTATGCCTTGAAGGGACACTCTGGCACGAGCCTCCCTCCAGCCTCACACGCTCTCCCTCGCCCGCACATGCACACCATGCTGCCATGCGCCAAGCACACCTGCTCTCCCCTCCCCATTTGGAGTCTCAGAAACAGCCCTTTCCTTGGCAGAGGAGGGCTGTGCCTTGAAGGGACACTCTGGCACGAGCCTCCCTCCAGCCCCACATGCTCTCCCTCGCCCGCACATGCACACCATGCTGCCATGCGCCAAGCACGCCTGCTCTCCCCTCCCCACTTGGAGTCTCAGAAACAGCCCCTTTCTTGGCAGAGGACTATGCCTTGAAGGGACACGCTGGCACGAGCCTCCCTCCAGCCCCACATGCTCTCCCTCACCCGCACATGCACACCATGCTGCCATGCGCCAAGCATGCCTGCTCTCCCCTCCCCACTTGGAGTCTCAGCAGCAGCCCTTTCCTTGGCAGAGGAGGGCTATGCCTTGAAGGGGCACTCTGGCACGAGCCTTCCTCCAGCCCCACATGCTCTCCCTCGCCTGCACATGCACACCATGCTGCCATGCGCCACGCCTGCTCTCCCCTCCCCACTTGGAGTCTCAGAAACAGCCCTTTCCTTGGCAGAGGAGGACTATGCCTTGAAGGGACACTCTGGCACGAGCCTCCCTCCAGCCTCACACGCTCTCCCTCGCCCGCACATGCACACCATGCTGCCATGCGCCAAGCACGCCTGCTCTCCCCTCCCCACTTGGAGTCTCAGAAACAGCCCCTTTCTTGGCAGAGGACTATGCCTTGAAGGGACACGCTGGCACGAGCCTCCCTCCAGCCCCACATGCTCTCCCTCACCCGCACATGCACACCATGCTGCCATGCGCCAAGCACACCTGCTCTCCCCTCCCCATTTGGAGTCTCAGAAACAGCCCTTTCCTTGGCAGAGGAGGGCTATGCCTTGAAGGGACACTCTGGCACGAGCCTCCCTCCAGCCCCACATGCTCTCCCTCGCCCGCACATGTACACCATGCTGCCATGCGCCAAGCACGCCTGCTCTCCCCTCCCCACTTGGAGTCTCAGAAACAGCCCTTTCCTTGGCAGAGGAGGACTATGCCTTGAAGGGACACTCTGGCACGAGCCTCCCTCCAGCCTCACACGCTCTCCCTCGCCCGCACATGCACACCATGCTGCCATGCGCCAAGCACACCTGCTCTCCCCTCCCCATTTGGAGTCTCAGAAACAGCCCTTTCCTTGGCAGAGGAGGACTATGCCTTGAAGGGACACTCTGGCACGAGCCTCCCTCCAGCCTCACACGCTCTCCCTCGCCCGCACATGCACACCATGCTGCCATGCGCCAAGCACACCTGCTCTCCCCTCCCCATTTGGAGTCTCAGAAACAGCCCTTTCCTTGGCAGAGGAGGGCTGTGCCTTGAAGGGACACTCTGGCACGAGCCTCCCTCCAGCCCCACATGCTCTCCCTCGCCCGCACATGTACACCATGCTGCCATGTGCCAAGCACGCCTGCTCTCCCCTCCCCATTTGGAGTCTCAGAAACAGCCCTTTCCTTGGCAGACGAGGGCTATGCCTTGAAGGGACACTCTGGCATGAGCCTCCCTCCAGCCTCACACGCTCTCCCTCGCCTGCACATGCACACCATGCTGCCATGCACCAAGCACGCCTGCTCTCCCCTCCCCACTTGGAGTCTCAGAAACAGCCCCTTTCTTGGCAGAGGACTATGCCTTGAAGGGACACGCTGGCACGAGCCTCCCTCCAGCCCCACATGCTCTCCCTCACCCGCACATTCACACCATGCTGCCATGCGCCAAGCACGCCTGCTCTCCCCTCCCCACTTGGAGTCTCAGAAACAGCCCTTTCCTTGGCAGAGGAGGGCTATGCCTTGAAGGGACACTCTGGCACGAGCCTCCCTCCAGCCCCACATGCTCTCCCTCGCCCGCACATGCACACCATGCTGCCATGCACCAAGCATGCCTGCTCTCCCCTCCCCACTTGGAGTCTCAGAAACAGCCCTTTCCTTGGCAGAGGAGGACTATGCCTTGAAGGGACACTCTGGCACGAGCCTCCCTCCAGCCTCACACGCTCTCCCTCGCCCGCACATGTACACCATGCTGCCATGTGCCAAGCACGCCTGCTCTCCCCTCCCCATTTGGAGTCTCAGAAACAGCCCTTTCCTTGGCAGACGAGGGCTATGCCTTGAAGGGACACTCTGGCATGAGCCTCCCTCCAGCCTCACACGCTCTCCCTCGCCTGCACATGCACACCATGCTGCCATGCACCAAGCACGCCTGCTCTCCCCTCCCCACTTGGAGTCTCAGAAACAGCCTTTCCCTTGCAGAGAGGACTATGCCTTGAAGGGACACGCTGGCACGAGCCTCCCTCCAGCCCCACATGCTCTCCCTCACCCGCACATGCACACCATGCTGCCATGCGCCAAGCATGCCTGCTCGCCCCTCCCCACTTGGAGTCTCAGAAACAGCCCTTTCCTTGGCAGAGGAGGACTATGCCTTGAAGGGACATGTTGGCACGAGCCTCCCTCCAGCCTCACATGCTCTCCCTCGCCTGCACACGCACACCTTGCTGCCATGCGCCAAGCATGCCTGCTCTCCCCTCCCCACTTGGAGTCTCAGCAGCAGCCCTTTCCTTGGCAGAGGAGGGCTATGCCTTGAAGGGGCACTCTGGCACGAGCCTCCTCCAGCCCCACATGCTCTCCCTCGCCTGCACATGCACACCATGCTGCCATGCGCCAAGCACGCCTGCTCTCCCCTCCCCACTTGGGCTCTCATAAACAACATCTCATGGCTGAGATGTTGGCCAATCCACAGGTGAGGTATTCATAGATTGCAAAATCTACACTACCGGAGAAAGTATTATTGTCTGTTTGGGACTAAAAGGATTCCAGAAGGGCTAGTTTTTTTTAAAAAACACACACACAACAACACAGATTTATTTACACCTAAACCCTCGACAACATGGGGGAACATATCCGAAGACGGCACGCACCATCTGGTGCTCCCGAACCAAAGCAAAAGTTGGAGGGCCAATGCTGGGCGGGGATGGAGCCACCTCAAAGCGCGCTGTTCCTCTCCCCTTCGGCCTTCTTCCCGTGCGGCACAGAGAAGTCCGTGAAATCCGCGAGCTCCTCTTTGTTGGCCTCCTCGATGCCGACGCCGTTCCTCTTGGCCATGATCTGGTTGATCTCCATGAAGGTTTTGTTCTTGGTTTCCGGGACGACAAAGAAGATGTAAATGTCGGTGACTAAGCAAATGCCACAAAAGATGAGGAAGCAATACGCCCCGAGCCCTTGCTAGAAAGGAAACAACATTGAAACAATGTGAGAGACGGAAAACGAGAGAGATCGATATCGAGAGAGAGAGAGAGAGAGAGAAGGAATTAGCTGAGGATCCGCGGGATTGTTATTTCAAACCTGCTGTAGGTTTCACAAAGGCCAGGATTTTACTTGGCTATAGATCAGTGTATACACTAATTGATAGGAAATTTGCTACAAAACAGGAGCTTTTTTGTTGAGTTCCAGGGCCAAAGAAGCAGGTGGCGGAAACAGAAGAACGGCCTGCCTCAGGGGAGCGTGCTTGCTCCATCAATGTTCAACATTTACACAAATGACCAGCCACTGCCAGAAGGGACAGAGAGTTTCATCTATGCTGACGATCGTGCCATCACCACCCAAGCAGGGAGCTTTGAAATGGTTGAACAGAAGCTCTCCTAAGCTTTAGGTGCTCTTACTGCCTATTACAGGGAAAACTAGCTTGCTCCACCAAGGTTTAACATTTACAGAAATGACTAGCCACTGCCAGAAGGGACAAAGAGTTTCATCTACGCTGACGATCATGCCATCAACACCCAAGCAAGAAGCTTTGAAAGTGCTGAACAGAAGTTCTCCAAAGCTTTAGGTGCTCTTACTGCCTGTTACAGGAAAAAACAAGGTTGCACTATCAATGTTTAAGATTTACACAATGATCAGCCACTGCCAGAAGGGATAAAGAGTTTCATCTACGCTGACGATCATGCCATCAACGCTCAAGCAGGGAACTTTGAAATGATTGAACAGAAGCTCTCCAAAGCTTTAGGTGCTCTTACTGCCTGTTACAGGAAAAAACAAGGTTGCACCATCAATGTTTAAGATTTACACAATGATCAGCCACTGCCAGAAGGGATAAAGAGTTTCATCTACACTGACAATCATGCCATCAACGCCCAAGCAGGAAGCTTTGAAAGGGTTGAACAGAAGTTCTCCTAATCTTTAGGCACTCTTACTGCCTACTACAGGGAAAACTAGCTTGCTCCACCAAGGTTTAACATTTACAGAAATGACTAGCCACTGCCAGAAGGGACAAAGAGTTTCATCTACGCTGACGATCATGCCATCAACGCTCAAGCAGGGAACTTTGAAATGATTGAACAGAAGCTCTCCAAAGCTTTAGGTGCTCTTACTGCCTGTTACAGGAAAAAACAAGGTTGCACCATCAATGTTTAAGATTTACACAATGATCAGCCACTGCCAGAAGGGATAAAGAGTTTCATCTATGCTGATGATCATGCCATCAATGCCCAAGCAGGGAGCTTTGAAATGGTTGAACAGAAGCTCTCCTAAGCTTTAGGTGCTCTTACTGCCTATTACAGGGAAAACTAGCTTGCTCCACCAAGGTTTAACATTTACAGAAATGACTAGCCACTGCCAGAAGGGACAAAGAGTTTCATCTACGCTGACGATCATGCCATCAACACCCAAGCAAGAAGCTTTGAAAGTGCTGAACAGAAGTTCTCCAAAGCTTTAGGTGCTCTTACTGCCTGTTACAGGAAAAAACAAGGTTGCACTATCAATGTTTAAGATTTACACAATGATCAGCCACTGCCATAAGGGATAAAGAGTTTCATCTACGCTGACGATCATGCCATCAATGCCCAAGCAGGGAGCTTTGAAATGGTTGAACAGATGCTCTCCTAATCTTTAGGCGCTCTTACTGCCTATTACAGGGAAAACTAGCTTGCTCCACCAAGGTTTAACATTTACAGAAATGACTAGCCACTGCCAGAAGGGACAAAGAGTTTCATCTACGCTGACGATCATGCCATCAACACCCAAGCAAGAAGCTTTGAAAGTGCTGAACAGAAGTTCTCCAAAGCTTTAGGTGCTCTTACTGCCTGTTACAGGAAAAAACAAGTTTGCACTATCAATGTTTAACATTTACACAAATGACCAGCCATTGCCAGAAGGGACAGAGAGTTTCATCTATGCTGACGATCGTGCCATCACCGCTCAAGCAGGGAGCTTTGAAATGGTTGAACAGAAGCTCTCCAAAGCTTTAGAATCCTAAGCAAAAAAAAAAAATCTTCCTTACCTTCATGTAATTGAAGACCAGCCCAACAGTGAAATTGGAGAGCCAGTGCACTGAACCTCCGACCATGAATGCGGCAGGGCGAGATGACTGGAGGAACATCTCTATGATCATGACGCTCGGGATCGGACCTGGGAAGAGAACATAATGGCTACTGAGTCTGCCATGAAAGGGTTGACCCTTCTGACCCAGGATGATGACGTGGTCACTACAGAAATGCCCAGTGTGGCAGACAACACTTTCTCCCAGTCCATTTTATGAACGTACTGGCTATCTGCCCACATAAAATAGGAATGCCCACAGACCACAGGTTGGGAACCAATGTCCTACACCATTCTTTGCACAATTTAAAATCATAGAAACAAGGGCCATCCAGTCCAGTCTCCTTCTGCCTGGTAGGAACATGCAAAGCCCTCCTGACAGATGGCCAACCCGTCTCTGCTTTAAAACGTCCAGAGAAGGAGACATGTTCAAGAAATCACCTTCAAAGTATCCTGGGACCACAGGGGTTCAAAACTGGGACACGACATTACATTATCATCATCATCATCATCATTAGATTCATAACAAGATGAGTACACAGCAAGATCACTCAAGATCACTCTGCTGGCTTTTGTAGTTTTTAAGTACAGGCCAAGGTCTTTAGGCACTGCACCTAGTGTGCCGATCACACGTCGGACACTTCCCAAGTGTCTAGGACTGTGTAATGTATCGGCAAATAATGCATGCAGATCCCAGTAGGGTGGCCTTTTGCAGCTGGCAGATGGTAATTTTGTCAGTGCCGATTGTGTTTAAGTACAGGCCAAGGTCTTTAGGCACTGCACCCAGTGTGCCGATCACCACTGGGACCACCTTGACACGTTGGACACCTCTCAAGCATCTAGAACTGTGTGATGTATTGGAGAATAATGCATGCAGATCCCAGTAGGGTGGGCTTTTGCAGCTGGCAGATGATAATTATGTCAGTGCTGATTGTTTTTAAGTACAGGCCAAGGTCTTTAGGCACTGCACCCAGTGTGCCGATCACTGGGACACACACATCGGACACTTCCCAAGTGTCTAGGACTGTGTGATGTATCGGTGAATAATGCATGCAGATCCCAGAGGTGGCCTTTTGCAGCTGGCAGATGGTAATTTTGTCAGCGCCGATTGTGTTTAAGTGCAGGCCAAGGTCTTTAGGCACTGCCAGTGTGCAATCACCAACTGGGACCACTTGACTGGCCATTGTGCACCAAGTTTTCTGGGCACTGTGTGTTGGACCGGGATTATCCGAGTGAGATCCACGCACGACGCTAAGCTCGGTGCCTGTGTGAAATGCGAGATCAGGTGGATTTTGCAGCTGACAGATGGTAATTTTGTCAGCGCTGATTGTTTTTAAGTACAGGCCAAGGTCTTTAGGCACTGCACCCAGTGTGCCGATCACTACTGGGACCACCTTGACACATTGGACACCTCCCAAGTGTCTAGGACTGTGTGATGTATCGGTGAATAATGCATGCAGATCCCAGTAGGGTGGGCTTTTGCAGCTGGCAGATGGTAATTATGTCAGTGCTGATTGTTTTTAAGTACAGGCCAAGGTCTTTAGGCACTGCACCCAGTGTGCCGATCACTACTGGGACCACCTTGACACATTGGACACCTCCCAAGTGTTTAGGACTGTGTGATGTATCGGCGAATAATGCATGCAGATCCCAGTAGAGTTGCCGTTTGCAACTGACAGATGGTGATTTTGTCAGCCCCGATTGTGTTTAAGTGCAGGCCAAGGTCTTTAGGCACTGCACCCAGTGTGCCGATCACCACTGGGACAACCTTGACCCATTGGACACCTCCCAAGCGTCTAGAACTGTGTGATGTATCGGGAAATAAAGCGTGTAGATCCCAGTAGGGTGGCCTTTTGCAGTAGACAGATGGTAATTTTGTCAGCGCCGATTGTTTTTAAGTACAGGCCAAGGTCTTTAGGCACTGCACCCAGTGTGCCGATCACCACTGGGACCACCTTGACTGGTTTGTGCCAGAGTCTTTGAAGTTCGATCTTTAAATCATCCTAATATTCTTATTATTACATTATTATTATTATTATTATTATTATTATTATTATTATTATGAGATCCAGATGTGTTGGAAGTAGTGTTATCATTTCCACTGCCCATGGGAAAGGCTGTACGACTGAAATGTATCAAAACCATTAAATTTTAACCTTCAAGCCAAGAAGAGCGCAAACTTACTTGCTCCGATGGCATGTCCAATGACGTACGAGATGATGCTGGCTATACTGACGTAGGACATCCAGGAGATAGACTGTCGGGAGATATTTGAATTGAGGGGTCAACATATACTCTCCAGCATTTCACAGGACACTTGAGACCAAATAACATCAGAGAATTTTCACAATGGCAAAAAAAGCTTCTCACAGGCTAAGGCCTACCTCACACTGAGGCTTCTCTCACAGACTATACAAATTATTATATAATTTATATTGTATATAAGGGAAAGGGAAAGGTTTTCCCCTGACGTTTTCTCACAGGCTAAGGCCTACCTCACACAGAGGCTTCTCCCACAGACTATACAAATTATTATATAATTTATATTATAAATAAGGTGAAAGTAAAGGTTTTCCCCTGACATTTTCTCCCCTGACATTTTCTCACAGGCTAAGGCCTACCTCACACAGAGGCTTCTCTCGCAGACTATACAAATTATTATATAATTTATATTGTATATAAGGTAAAGGTAAAGGTTTTCCCCTGACGTTTTCTCACAGGCTAAGGCCTACCTCACACAGAGGCTTCTCTCACAGACTATACAAATTATTATATAATTTATATTGTATATAAGGTAAAGGTAAAGGTTTTCCCCTGACATTTTCTCACAGGCTAAGGCCTACCTCACACAGAGGCTTCTCTCGCAGACTATACAAATTATTATATAATTTATATTGTATATAAGGTAAAGGTAAAGGTTTCCCCCTGACGTTTTCTCACAGGCTAAGGCCTACCTCACACAGAGGCTTCTCTCACAGACTATACAAATTATTATATAATTTATATTATAAATAAGGTAAAGGGTTTTCCCCTGAAATTTTCTCTCCTGACATTTTCCCACAGGCTAAGGCCTACCTCACACAGAGGCTTCTCTCACAGAATATACAAATGTTTATATAATTTATATTATAAATAAGGTAAAGGGTTTTCCCCTGAAATTTTCTCCCCTGATATTTTTTCACAGGCTAAGGCCTACCTCACACAGAGGCTTCTCTCACAGACTATGCAAATTATTATATAATTTATATTGTATATAAGGGAAAGGGAAAGGTTTTCCCCTGACATTTTCTCACAGGCTAAGGCCTACCTCACACAGAGGCTTCTCTCGCAGACTATACAAATTATTATATAATTTATATTGTATATAAGGTAAAGGTAAAGGTTTTCCTACCTCACACAGAGGCTTCTCTCACAGACTATACAAATTATTATATAATTTATGTTATATATAAGGTAAAGGTAAAGGTTTTCCCCTGACATTTTCTCCCCTGACATTTTCTCACAGGCTAAGGCCTACCTCACACAGAGGCTTCTCTCACAGACTACACAAATTAGTATATAATTTATATTATGAATAAGGTAAAGGTAAAGGTTTTCCCCTGTTACATACCTTGAGATTCAGAGCGATGGTCAAAACGGCACACGCCACGCAGCAGATCCCGAAACCAACCAGCAACAGAATCCTCCGGCCCAAAGACTCGACGATAAAAACCTACACGATATGAAAGGGAGGAGGCTAAGTACGTGCCAAGACTTAGTTAATACGCTTCCATTTTCAGCCCTTTGGGACCTCCCGCCACTGGAAAGTGGAGCCCGATTTTGACATGGGAGCCATACCGCAAGGAATGTCATGACGACGTTGACCGCTCCCGTCCCGACGGTGACGAATTGGACATCGTACTTATTCAACCCTGTGGACAAGTAGATTTCGTCAGCGTAGTAGTAAATCTGAAACGAGAGCAAAACAAGGGTTGACCAGAGCTTCTGGAAGGTATGACAGATCTTTTAGTTTGAAAGTCTGCCCAATGGGTTACCTGTTGAGCCATTTCAGGGAGTTCCTGAATTTTGCCTAGAATTATGGAAAAAAATAGACCCCTGTCTGATCCCACAGCAAGCTGGCTCAGGAAAGGCAAAAGCTGCACATCGCAAGTGTTGAACCTGACTCAGCACATAGAAGATTGCTTTGAAAGGCAGCAGATCACAGGAGCTGTCTTCATAGACCTGTCAGCAGCCTATGATACTGTGAACCACCTGCCTCCTCCTGAGAAAAATGTATAATATCACAAAGGACGACCACCTCACCCGCCTCATAGGAAACCTGCTACAAAACAGGAGCTTTTTTGTTGAGTTCTAGGGCCAGAGAAGCAGATGGCGGAAACAGAAGAACGGCCTGCCTCAGGGGAGCGTGCTTGCTCCATCCATGTTCAACATCTACACAAATGACCAGCCACTGCCAGAAGGGACAGAGAGCTTCATCTATGCTGATGATCGTGCCATTACCGCTCAAGCAGGGAGCTTTGAGATGGTTGAACAGAAGCTCTCCGAAGCTCTAGGTGCTCTTACTGCCTATTACAGGGAAAACCAGCTGATCCATAACCCATCTAAAACACAGACATGTGCCTTTCACCTCAAGAACAGAGAAGCATCCCGAGCTCTGAGGATTATCACCTGGGAAGGAATCCCACTGGAGCATCGCAGCGCACCCAAATACCTGGGAGTCACTCTGGGCTGTGCTCTGACCTCCAAGAAGCACTGCCTGAACATCAAGCAAAAAGTGGGTGCCAGAAACAATATCATACGAAAGCTGACTGGCACAACCTGGGGATCACAACCAGATACAGTGAAGACATCTGCCCTTGCGCTATGCTACTCTGCTGCTGAGTATGCATGCCCAGTGTGGAACACATCTCACCACACTAAAACAGTGGATGTGGCTCTTAATGAGACATGCCCATTATCACGGGGTGTCTGCGCCCTACACCACTGGAGAAATTACACTGCTTAGCCGGTATTGCACCACCTGACATCCGCCGGGAAGTAGCAGCCAATAGTGAAAGGACCAAGGCAGAGACATCTCCAGCTCATCCCTTGTTTGGGTATCAGCCAGCACGTCAGCGACTTAAATCTAGACATAGTTTTCTAAGATCTACAGAGACACTCACTGGAACACCTCAGCAAGCGAGAGTCCAAAAGTGGCAGGCTCAAACCCAGCACCTCAACCAATGGCTGATACCAAATGAGAGACTCCCCCCTGGGCACACAGAAGACTGGGCGACTTGGAAGGCGCTGAACAGACTGCGCTCTGGCACCACGAGATGCAGAGCCAACCTTCAGAAATGGGGCCACAAAGTGGAATCGACGACATGCGAGTGCGGAGAAGAGCAAACCACTGACCACCTGCTGCGATGCACCCTTAATGTTGTGACTTACGGCGTTGACTCCGGAGAGCTGTTGCCCCATCATCATCACGATGATGGAGATAAGTTGCCAGCGGAGTCCTTGGTAGGTGAAGAGCGTGAGCACGGACATCCGCCCCTCGGCTTTCTCCGCCTGGTCCTCCTGAAACATCTCCTCCATCTCATCGTCCACGTCGTCCCAGCCTCGCAGCTTCTTCAGAGCTGAAGAAAAGTAGCGGAAATGACACAGGTGGACAATCACAAGTGCACAATGTCCTTGCCTTTGCCACTTGTGGTGCCTCAACCTTCCAAATGCCGCGACCCCTTACTACAGTTCCTCATGTTGTGGTGACCCCCAACCATCACATTATTTTCGTTGCTACTTCACAACTCTCATTTTGCTCCTGTTGTGAATCGTAATGTAAATATCCAATATGCAGGATGTATTTTCCTTCACTGGATCAAATTTGGCACAAATACCTGAAACGCCCAAATTTGAGTACTGGTGAGGTTGGGATTGATTTTGTCATTTGATAGTTGTCGTTGCTGGGATTTATAGTTCACCTACAATCAAAGAGCATTCTGAACTCCATCAACAATGGAATTGAAACAAACTTGGCACATAGGACTCCTACAACCAACAGAAAATTCTGTAAGGGTTTGGTGGGCATTGACCTAGAGTTTGGGAGTTGTAGTTCGCCTACATCCAGAGAGCACTGTGGACTCAAACCATGATGGATCTGGACCAAACTTGGCACGAATATTCCATATGCCCAAATGTGAACACTGATGGAGCTTGGGGGAAATAGACATTGACATTTGGGAGTTGTACTTGCTGGGATTTATAGTTCACCTACAATCAAGGAGCATTCTGAACTCCACCAACGATGGAATTGAAACAAACTTGGCACATAGGACTCCTACAACCAATAGAAAATTCTGGAAGGGTTTGGTGGGCATTGACCTTGAGTTTGGGAGTTGTAGTTCGCCTACATCCAGAGAGCATTGCGGACTCAAACAATGATGGATCTGGACCAAAATTGGCATGAATACTCAATATGTCCAAATGTAAGTACTGGTAGCATTTGGGGAAAATAGACCTTGATGTTTGGGAGTTGTAGTTGGTGGGATTTATAATTCACCTACAATCAAAGAACATTCTGAGCTCAGCCCACGATGGATCTGCATCACACATGACACACAGAGTTCCCACAACCAACAGAAAATGCTGGAAGGGTTTGGTGGGCATTGACCTTGAGTTCTGGAGTTGTAGTTCACCTACATCCAGAGAGCACTGTGTACTCAAACAATGATAGATCTGGACCAAACGTGGCACAAATATTCAATATGCCCAAATGTGAACACTGGTCAAGTTTGGAGAAAATAGACCTTGATTTTTGGGAGTTGTTGTTGCTGGTATTCATAGTTCACTTACAGTCGAAGAGCATTCTTAATCCCAAT